CATGGCACCAAATCAAGCTGCGGCAGACTTGACAAATCTATTTGGCATGGTTCGCTCCACCGTTGCAGCCTGAACCGTGCTGAGCGCCGCACTGACGCAGGGAGGAATCTGCACCTTGAATACAGACATCTGGGAGCTTGCCTAACACAGGAACGGCAGGGATTAATGCGGGCAGGGAATGCAGGGTCAGAGCCCCCCGACATCAGACCAAATCAAGCTGCGGCAGACTTGACAAATCTATTTGGCATGGTTCGCTCCACCGTTGCAGCCTGAACCGTGCTGAGCGCCGCACTGACGCAGGGAGGAATCTGCACCTTGAATACAGACATCTGGGAGCTTGCCTAACACAGGAACGGCAGGGATTAATGCGGGCAGGGAATGCAGGGTCAGAGCCCCCCGACATCAGACCTGTGAGCAAGGGGCTTTGCCCTGTCCCCACTGCGGTCGGCTGGTGACCAGTCGTTTGGTGGGGAGGGAAAGCAGTCACCCGGATGAGAGGGGTAGGCAAGCCACCAAAAACCAATTACGTGTCCTCCAGCCTCGGGAGGTGTCTGCTAAATTGAGGCCAGAACATGGGAACGAAGCGAGACTGGAATAAAGGAGTAAAAAAGGAGAGGTTTGATTTTTCCTCTTTCTTATGAAGAGAGAAAACAGAGCAGAAAAAAAGCTGATAGGACTCAAGGGCCAAATCCTGAAATGGGGGCAATTCACGTGGCTATGGGACTGCTTTGGGTTGACACCAGCTAGGCTTTAGGGTCTTGCTGGAGCAATGTAAATTGGCCCAGCAGCACTGAAACCAGCTGTGCTGTCCTGCTCTATCCTGGCTGAGGATCCAGTGTGCAACACCCGGGACTCCAAGGATGGGAAATCTACTCTCCCCTGCAACTAAAACCACCCTCTGGGCCACATTCCCACCCCAGTTAAGGCTCTAAAAGGTAAATTTATTGTCAGTGGTTATTCAAAACACTGAACTGCATATTTAGCCCGTCTCTCTGCCTGGCATGTTGCCAACTTCCCATCTGTCTCGGCTTGCACGGTCCTAGTGAGACCTCAAACTCACCCGTTTCCATGGGGTGCCCAGGGGTGAGGAGAGACGGCCCCAGTTCACAGAAAGGTCTGCCATGGTCAGTGGGTCCTCAGAGAGCACAGAGCCTCCACACCAGTGCACGACCACTGCATTAGGATTATACGTGAGCTCTGCCATGAGCTTCAGCCCGCCTGAGGTCTGGGGGAGTCTGGCTGCTGACTCTCCTATGGGGTGCTGGGTTGCCCTATGCCTCCATTTCTCTACCTCTAAAATAGGACCAACACCACCTCACTGGCATGCGAGGAGCTTAAATACTCCAAATATTGGAAGTATGAGACCCTGCTAGGGGCCTCTGCACAGAGAGGACTCATTCTGGGAAGCAGAGAGAATTTGAACCGTGAGACACACTTGTGGGGAAGGGGAAATCACACGGCCCGGAAGGGAAGGAAATGTCTGGATGAATCCTGGACAAGGCCGACTACTGCATTTCATGCCAGTAGTGCCTGTGCCAGCAAATGGAGGGGACAGCTAATTTAACAGAAGTGCTGAGCAAGCAGAAATTGCTGGGACGTGTGTGCAGCAGAGGGGGGTGTACGGGACCCCAGCCACCGAGTTCACACAGAGAGATTATGGCACGTCAACGGGGAGGACCTGAGCCGTGGCTGCAGTGCTGGGGGGCACCACAGAAGAGCAGGGAAGGGCTTTCCCAGGGTGCCCTTAACCAAGCGACAACCACACGACCAAGGCAAGTGACAAAGCAGGACCAGCCCAGCACTATGGCTGCCTTAACCCCCCTCTCTGTACAACAAAGCTTCCAAGCAGACTACCTCGAGCTTGCCTCGTCTGGCCATGCAGCAGCACCTGCAAGGCTTGGAAGGGCTGAACACCCATATTTACCCTCCCTCCCCCTTGCTACCATCTCTGTGTGCCTCCCAGAAACACAGCAAGAGCGTGCAGCAGCTCCCTAGGCTCAATGCACCCTTACCGACCGTGCCTGCTAGTACAGATCCCACAGCTCTGGCAGTCTGAATTGCTCCTCATTATTTATTGTTCATTTTGTTCTCTGGGATGGTGCGATCCCCTCTTAGGATTTGTGCCCTTTCATTTCCAGGCCTCAGTAACTCCTGAACTACAGTTTCATGTGGTTTTGTGATTGTTAACCCAGCATGCAGACGGGGCTACGGCCATAAAAGCTCAATGAATCTTGTATGGCAAAACACAGGCTGTGAAAGCATTTTCTCCTTCATTTGCAGTCAAAGAACATACTCTCGCCACCACGAAAGATGCAACAGCAGCCAGGTTTTCCAAGGAATAATGTTTCCTCATTGCTGTGCAGAGGAGAAAGGACTATTTCTGCTCAGACCATCATCAGTCTTTTAGACCTCATCAGAAAAAGGGTCCCTCACAGATTAAGCCCTCCAGGCCTGTAAAATCTCTCTGTTCTCTTCCCTCCTGTTGGCTGCAAGACTCACCAAGGTGCATGCAAAAGAGACAAAAAGGCCTTTACCTTGTGGTTTTTCCCATGTCGGTACATCATCCAGTCCTCCCCATTGGTGCTGACCTCCAGCTTGTAAGTACGGACATAGTAGCCATTCTGGGTTTCTCTGGAGATGGCTCCCTGTGTGGCAATGGCTGTGAGCAAAGTCAGGAAGTGGAGGTCCACCTTTCCGGGGGAAAAAGGGACAACAGAGAGAGTGGTGACCATCTGAGAGTCCAGGCTGGCTAGTTAGTTCCTCCCTCTATCTCTGAAAATTGAAAAGGTGCGAATTCAGTCTGTCTCACTCCATCTGTGGGCGCACATTTCAACAGGCACAAACCCCCAGGCTAACTTCAGCAGGATGCTTGCAGATAGGACCATGGGACATGAGTAACTAAGGACCTTGATATCTGACCATATGGGACCATCACAAAGCCTTCTTCCTGCCTCTGACCAAGCAAGGAGGATCTGCAGAGATCGTGTCCATTAAAGCAGGACAGAAGCTGACTTTTTCCATGTAAAATAAAAGCATGATGTCCAATTAGCAAGTCCTGCAGTTCTTGGTTTTCCTTTGGTTTTTTTCTTTACGACATGGGTTGAGAAAGGTCAGCAGAGCTGGCTTGGTAGCACTGCCATGAATGAAGAATGAGACATCTGCTAGAGGCAATGACATTCACCACCTCCCGTTCCTAGTGCCCTTTAGCAAGCAGTGTCTCACAGCAATGTGACACAGCCAAAAGCCCTGTACGGACAGAGACTGTGGCTCTAACCAGCTCCCAGCGAAAGTCTTTGCTCTGTCAGTCCCCTACCTGACATTAGGCTGCTCGTGCTCCCTGCATCACTGGTGAGATAAATATTATTCTAGTCTTTTTTCCATGTGTCCCCTGGAGACTATGGCCCTCAGGCCAGTGGCAGAGTCAGCAGCCCCTGTAAGTGGCAGAGGTCCCTCAGTCTCTGCCAGTATGCTGGAAAGTCCATCAAGGTTTTGGGCAGGAAGGAGGGGGTGGGAGAGGAACAGCGGGTCAAGTCAGCCCTTGTGCAGGCACACTAATGGGAGAGTCAGCCTGTCACATTTCATGGAGGCACTGCAGCTCCCCTGCTGCTCGCTCCCTGTGAGCCACAGAGGTAATAAAAAGATTCAACAAGCTTTACGGTCAAGGGTCAGTTTAACAGCGTGACACTCCATTTGGTGGGGGAAGAGGTGAGGGGGCTGGAAAGCGTGCGTACCTGGAGGTACTCCTTGTTGCTGTCTACATTGGGGGTCCAGCCATTGTCATCACTGTTAAGCCGGCTCTGTTGAGGGGTCCATCGCCCATCTGAGTAGGTGGAGGAGGCACTGATCTGCATGTTGGAGATCCTGCCAGACTCCATCCCCAGCGGCACATTGCACTGGAAGTCTGGAGCAGACACACACACATATAGAGATCAACTTGCAGTCTCTGTACTTCATTCTCAGGTGGAAGGCAGCCCTGAATTATCCTCACCAGCTAACCCCAAGCAAAGCTGCCTGCCTGGGAAGATGAACAGATCTGCACCATCTTGCAGGCTTTGTGTGCTCACAGATGGCACTGAAAAATTAAAGACGGGGCAGCTTCATGTTTGCGTGGCCCTCTTAAAACTAATACAGTCCAGATCTTTCTCCCTTTCTCCATGTCCTCCACCTTTGCACAGTTTTGACGCAATTCTGCCCCTTCCCTCCCTCACTCTCCACCAAGATGTCTCAAGTCCCCTTTCCACAAAGTTTCCCGTCTTTTTGAAGGCTGGAGGTGAAATCAAATCACTGACAAGGCAGGAGTATGGGCAGGCACAATGGGAGGGTGCTTACTGTTGTGCTGCCGGCAGGAACATCAAGGCCTGGAACGGGCAGGACTAAAGGTTTTGTGTGCATGTGAAAGTATGGATGCGTGTGTGTATGTGCCTGTATATATGTGCATGTGCTATATGTGGTATCAGGCCCATAGGAATTAACCAGCCAAGAATATGAAAGACTCTGATATGCTTTCATTTGGGTTTCCTCACTTCTAAGGCTTTAAAAGTCACAATTAGCTCAGTCTTATTGCACATCTCATATATTTTATGGCAGCTGTCCTGTAAAAACAATAGCAAAGAAAACATTGATAGGAAATACCGCATGGGCTCAAGCATGCCACTGCTGTAAACCAATGGGGCTCCACCAAACTGCCTGTGTTTTTAATGTGGCCAAGTCAACCCCTGGTGGAAATGATGGGCCAAGTTAAGATCTCAGTGGTATTATTAAAGTTTCAATTTACACCAGCATAAATCAAAACAGGCTTGGCCCTTTAACAGCTCTTGTGCTTGATTTCTCAAGCTTGGTGTGTCATTAACATTTTATTTCTCAATGCTTTTAAGGAACAGAATAGAAAAAGGATTAAAGAACAGCTTAGTTGAGTGTGGAGACAGGCAATGGTGAAGAGTTCCTGCTTGTCTGTAACTCCCACAGCCTCAGCAGAACGTCCTTAACTTAATCACAGAGCAAGAGCCTGTAACCCAGCTGCCCTAGTGCTGCACAACCCCTACTCTACCTTGCTCTCTGTCATGGGCTTTCAGTATTGGGTCAGGGACTCCCTCTCTTACTCTGGGACTGTGGGGTGTCCTGAAGGCTCCTTCTGTTGTATCACAGGTTTGCTGTGAACAGAGGTCAAGAACTGTAGCTCCGATGTAAAAATACCATGGGAAAACAAACTGAATCTTTCCTTCCCTGCAAGCATTACCACAAAGAATCGAAATGCTCTTCATTCTCAAAAAACCCAACTTACTTCCTCACTCCACATCAATTTACCTCCCTTAATAAGTGATCTAAAACAAATGTTGGTTTGAAATTCTTAGGGTTTTAGGCATTTTTTAATTAGACAGCCAAGAAATTCCAATTTGTAGTTTGGGGCTGTGAATTTTTGGAAAACTAGAGAGAGGGAGAGACTATTTTCCCCCGCGCTTTATGAATCTGCTGCACCTGCTGGGCTGAAGTCTTCCCTAAATCCTCTGGGCTGAGCGCATACATGAAGGATTCTATTCCAAAAGGTATTGAGAGACAAGTGAAAAGTCAAAGCAAGGTCAGAAAATGTGATTCTTACTGAAATCTCACTTCTATGAGAAACAGAGAACACACCTAGTGTAACTGCTGTCTGCATTGCTGGTGGGTGACCAGCCCCTGGACACACTCCTGTTTGCCTCACTCTCGCATGTGCCAAGTGAAAGACTTGGGAAAAACAGGTGACACAACTGCTTAAGTCATACGCACATGTTTCCAACTTACTTTCCGGGACTTCCTGCTGGATCAAGTAGTACTGAGCAGAGAAACCATCTTTAGCCACTGCCAGGTCCGTGTGGAAGGTGAGCGAGAGGACGCCAGTGGTTGAGCGGATGTCCGATGGCATCTTAGTGCCACAGTACCTGCCTATCAAGGGGCCGACTGCAAAAGTTAAAGGTAATGCCTGCTTTTCCACCAGCCTCCTGGGTCACCAGCAGATTGGCATCACTCAGCAGGGATGCCTTAGTGGGGCTGATCAGGATAAAAGAAAGGCTTTGGGGATGGACTATTTTTCACATCCGCTGGCCTGGTGCCATGCAGTATGCCATGCAGAAATATCCACTGCAGCAGGCCTTGCTCTGCAATTGCTAGGAAATGCTCCAAACTGCTCTGTTTCTCAGTGTTGGTACAGAGTAGGGAGGTCCTCCCACCACCGCATGAACCCACTGCCCTTCCCTGAGGGAGGACTGGTGGTATCTTGGAGTGTCCCATGGGGCTTTTCAGAGCAGTGGTTACAACAGAGCAGTAGTTTGGGGTTTAACACACGCAGTCTTCTGCAAGTGCACTGTCCCCACAGCTGGCCATGGAGTGTCCCAATGGCAGGCTGCATGCTGCAGCCACAGCTGAGGTCAGGCACCTTTGGTGTTCAGACACAGACTGCTCAGTTTTGGAGCTCTGTGAGACACCAAGAGAGGCTGAGGACAGCAGCGCAGCACCCCATGGCTTACCCTGAGGGATGCCGTCCCAGATGTCCAGCCAGTCATACTTGCAGTCTCCTTCCCCCGCCTGCAGCGGGTCGTGCTCGAGGTCGAAGAGCAGAAAGTGAAGGAGGATTTCTGTCTTTGGCTTGGCTATGATGGTGAAGACGCAGTCCAGGTTGTGTGGATACTTGTCAGGGAAACCTGGAGACTCAATAGTGCCATTGGAGGCGGTGAAGTTTCTGGAGCAGTCCTCAGAGCCTGTAGTGGCAGGAAAAAACCCGCAGCCTTAGCAACAATGCAGTTTAATGCCAACAAGCTGTTGGCATTGATACTGTGGAAACCCCATTTTGAGCTTACAGGGGTTGTGTATTAATTTCTGGAAATGTTCTGTAACACAAGAGCTGTGTGAATTCTTGCAAGGACCGAGAGGGTGATTTTCAAAGCTTCCCATAGGTGGTGAGACAAAGTCTGTGCATTCACTGGAGTGGACAGCATGGTTCTAAATCCCTCAGGCAGCTCTGCAAATGTAACCTGTACACCACTGCTGATCGCCCTGCCAATTGCTGGAACAGGCTGCCCAGGGAAGTGGTTGAGTCACCATCCCTGGAGGTATTTAAAAGTTGTATAGATGTGACACTTCAGGACATGGTTTAGCGGTGGACTTGGCAGTGCTAAGATAACAGTTAGACCCATGATCTTAAAGGTCTTTTCCAACCTAAGCGATTCTATGATTCTGTTACTCAAAAAACAGGACTAGGAGAGTGATCCCATCCAAAGCCACCAAGAGCCATGGCTGCGATTTGGCAGGGGCGCACACCGCCACTCTCCCCCCTGCCATGTCCCCCATGCTGCTGGCGGTGGCCCTGGTGGGGAAGGGAGGCCACACAGAGCTGGGTTGGGCTTCCCCTGCCGGCTCTATCCACGGTAAGCCAGGCCCCCAAACAGTGACCTACCGGCAGACCCATGGCTGCTGCCCC